GAGGTCTGCTTTCGAAATGACATATTGTACGTCTAGCAAGTACTTGCATTTCAGCTCACACAAACCCGTCAACAAGGAGCGTTGACAGTACCTACCACAGATAAACGCCAGATAATGCGACGCTCGGGAAAGTTTGTAAACATGGCTAAACGAGCTGTCCATGCCACGCCTCCGCGGACGTACACAAGGCCGATGAGAGGGAAATAGGAGACACTGGCGGCCTTGATGGCTGCTAACTGACTGGCTCGGTGCGCTGACCCCACACAGTGGACAAAGGTCGGCGGAGACCACAAAGTGCAATTTTATAGAGACTTGGGTATTCCCACACACAGCCGGCGCACGTACATGTAGTTGTTTTTGCTGCTCTGCTGCTCTTCTCCTTCTTCTTCTACCACATGATGATGATGATGATGATGATGATGATGATGATGATGATGATGATGATGATGATGATGATGATGATGATAGGAACATGGCAGCAAGAAAGAACAAAAATATCAGTGATGCCAAAGAGAAGTCGAAGGAGAAGAACAAACCAGAGCATTCACCGGCTATCAGCGCAAAGTAGGTGCTAAGACAAAAGTCATGCAAAGCTATAACCTTCAAAACAAAAAAGCGAATGCTTCCAAAAAGTAAAAAGGCTGCGGGTAACATCTTGTCGAAATAAAACACCTTTTACGAAATAATCTTCTCTAATTTCTGTCACACTTGAAAACTCAAATTCAGCTGAAATCAGTCTCAAAGAAGCGAACGTACAAGTAATAAGATTTTATCTAATTTGGCGAGAAAGAAAACAAAATGTTTGAGCTCGGTAAAGTCACAAAAGAGACGGATTAGGTAAACATAATACTTATGCCTCAAACATTTCACGCGAATAGACTTGATAAACTTGGCGAGAGGAGGTTCATTCAAACCTATACTGTTTTCACAGGAGCAGGGAACGTTGGATACCCTGTGCGATTACTCCCCATTAAAGGCCGTTAAGTTGTAATGGAGATTAATCATGTTTGAGTGAACCGGTCTTAGTTCAGACAATGAGCACTTACGTTAAAGGCGTAACTAAACACTACCTTTATGTACGTCAAGGGGGGCGTCTCTCTTCATGTGCGTGACTAGGTGACCCGACCGCCGTATTCAAAAGACCACTGACAGTATCAGTACACCGCAATACGGGTTTCAAACTGGGATGAAAGCGATTCAAAAACACAAACAAGCCAAAGAACATCAATATTGGGGATACGGCACGTTAGGATAACCCAAGTCCTCAGATCTGACACGCAAATCTTTCCATGAGCGCGCGGTGGTGCGAACGTGACACGCACCCCATCAGGAAGGCTTTGCTTTTTTCACAGCTCACATCCTTAAACTGACGTAAACCGTGAATACTATGTTTTCAACAGATATATACACGAGCGCCATATCACGCTGATCAAAAGTCAATGAGGCAAAAACCCAAAAAGGAACAGTATTATCTTGGTTTTTGTTATTTACGGCAGTCAGGAATTACGAGCTTGGGGAAGGGGACAAGAGTACAATTACGGATAGCGGGGAGTCAGTATTATTAAGTCCAGGCTTTGTTGGGAAGACTATAAAAATAAAAGCAAGACCGATAAAGTAGAAGGAGCAGACCCCACAAAAGTGTCCATCAATAACCCGTGGGAAGAGTGACGACGAGCATTAGAAATGTGCTCTTCAAATCGGCATAGTTTTCATACCCTTTGAGTGGTGTCAGTTGAGATAGTATCTTCTCAACGCTAACGGGATAAAGATATCGCCTTTTGTAAAGGTCAATGAGAGATAACAGCAGCAAAATAAAATAAAACGCACAAACAAAAACGTGATGTGTATGTTATGGGAGGAGGACAAGAGTGTCCGATGAGATTTATTATTGTTTATGGCCTGACTAGTTGTCTCACTCCTAGGACGACGTCGTAAATGGAATACACTATCTCCTTACAACGGACTTGGTAGCGCTGTCCCCCAAACTCAATGGTAGCAAAACAAAACCTTACACGCAAAAAAACAACAACCAAAAAGGTAAGGTACTGTGTATTCCAGAGGGCTCAAAAAACATGTTTTGCTAGAAAAAGAACAGCACAAAGCAGCTATTGACTCAGTAAACACAATGATAGGATCCAGGATGAATGATTTTGGGTTAGAATCGGTTTCTAAACCTTGATAGTACGGCAAATCATTTCAACTCTCCATCGGGTCCTTTTAATCATGTGTGCTAATTCAGAGTTCACATTACTCATGTAACTTTAAACTTGACTCCACAGGGACCACAACTCGAATTATAAATAATTGAGCGTTTAAAAAAGAATCAGAAAAACTACATTACGTTTAAGAATAAAACGTTCTTGCAGTAATCCAGCTGTTTCCAGCTGCCTCCAGCTGTACCAGGTTCACATCACAACGCGCACAACCTTCGCACACGCTCAAATAAACAGATCATGGCCGCCCACCAGGGGTTAAGGGAGCTGCCGCCCAGCCATTCACTTACCAAACGATGTTGCATTCTGTTTTTCTCTCCTTAAGAGCGCTATACTTTTAACTTTTGAGCTACGATATGATGTGTATAGGATAATGTCCATTTATACAATTAAGGTCATCATTGAGGTGGCAGTCTCACGTCGATCTCCGATAGGACAAAGCCAAGAGAACTCAAAAACTTTTCAAGAAAGCCTTATTTGGGAATTCAAAACATCACCCTCATCGCGGCCTCACAAAATAACACTTGAGCAAACGCCATGCCCTGCTCTTCACTCTCAAAGTCTTTTGTTTTTGCAAGTGTTTTACGGCGCTCGCAACTGCATAAGTTCATATGAGCGCGCGGGACACACCAAACATTTTCAGTTGGTAGGATATGTTGAATTTTGTCCGGGTGGTGGCTGAAGCCTACTCTTATCGATTTTTAGACCACCAAGGGATTTTTAACGTGCGCAACTTGCACACGGGACCTCCGAGATTTTGCACCCTTGTCCGAGAAAGCTAGGTGTAGACCTTACCTACCATAAGAACAGGGGTGTGGCGGAAGCACAGCAGTAAGAAGAAGCTAAGGAGAAGCAGTACAAAGGCTACAGAAAGAGTCAGGAGCCCAGAGGAGGGGGCAAAGGAGGTGAAGGGGTAGGGGCAGAAAGTGGAAACAAAAGCAGACGACGGAACATTGCTAGAGAGCAGGAAACGAGGTGAAAGGAGACAATTTTAGAGGAGAAAATTGTTCCGGATTTGAACCCGGGACTTTTGAATGAGAGGCGAACACCTTAACCTCTAGGCCACGAGAGCCCCCCTCTCAAAGTCTGATTACATGTATTCTTATTAATCTAGAAAAGTTTTGTTGTCGGGGTTTTTTTGGTCATAGAAAAACACTTTCTTCCTAATTTTTTTGTCGCTCAATTTAATTTCACTTATGAGACTTTACTTACACACAGCAGTAAAGGACTGCAGATTTCCTGACAGGACAGGCAGGTGTAAATAATCTGCTGCCCAACAAAACGAGGGCGCACAACTAACTCTGCGGCGCGATGGGGGCCATTTAGGTGATAGAAGAAGTCTCAGCTTTGATTCGTGTATATTTTGTCTGATGTCCGACTCTCTTTTATGTTCATCCGGAGACCAAAAGCCTAGGCTAGCAAAATATAGGCATATTATATCACAGTGCAGGGTCCAATTTCGAAATAACATACGTGTATAGAGATAACTAGAGTGCCAAACAATTTAATAAAATAAACAATGAAGGAGTAAGTTAAGTACAAAAATCACCAACAAGCAAACAAATCAACAATAGTCAGTGTACAGATTCCCTTACCAGGGCTGTGAGAGTCCTTCCTCCTCGGAGGCGTCCCCCCAGGGCTGGCAGCCACCTCCCCAGCTGGAAATGTTCAGAACCACTACACCCTCTAGGGCCGGCAGCAGGATCTGACGACCGTCCAGCTCCACCTGAGGACAACAACAAAGGTACAGCTTTTTTTTCCTTTCAAAGTTGTACATGTTTTAGTTTTATCTGGTGTCTAACTCCAATGTGTAGCGGGTTAGGCACTTCGCAGCCACGCAGAGAAGACCTTACTTCGATTCCCGCGTGGGTCTAGGTTTTTCTACTGGGACATTGAATTCCTCTCAGTCCGGGTTGGCAGATTTGAGGCCCGCCCCCTATATAATACAAATCGGGTCTATGGGTTCTAAAACCACCAGTAGGTTCTTTTCTTTTCATTCTTTATTACATAGGCACAAGTTAGATCATTTACGCGAGGCTTCGACCTTGCCTGCCAGGGCCAATCTGTACCTGAGCAACATCCAAGCAAACGGACGGAGATAATCGATAGTCGATATTTTTAAAAATCCCTTTCTAGGAATCAAACTCACGTCTTCTGCGTAAAATGGCGAAGAACCTAACCGTTATACAACAGACGCTGGCGAGATCGATTAGTTGTGATACTCGACCAACCGGCATAATAACAGCAACATTTCGCCACTAACACGACATAATGGTAGAACAATTTATCAAAGGTCGAATGCTTCAAAACAAGCATGATGGGCTCAAACGAGTTACAACTGGTGTATTTTGACACACCCTCAAAGTGCGAGAACAGTTATTTTATATACCGCTTAATCCTTTCACTGCCCTAGCCCCAGACAGTCTGAGGCTTTTCGTGGTGATATAAAGCACTCCTGGCAGTGAAAGATTTAAAACCCCAGCGCAGAGCACTCAATATTCGGTTATCTAATTTAGGTATTATTTGATTTATTGTTATATTTAGGGAGGAAAAACATTTTGTACGGGTGGTCATAGTCTGGCATGGTATGGGTTTAACATAACGTTCGCCACTCTACGGTCATTTGAGGAGTAGAACCTCCGAAACTAACGTCTGTGAAAGGACTCAGCTAAACAAGGGCATTTGAACCAGCTAAGGCCATCCGCACCATAGCAAGCAAGATATCAACAGATCTTATGGTATTGCTGTGGGCAGAAAAAGAAGAAAGAAGAAAGGAAAGAAAGGAGAGACAATAAACCAAAGTTAATTTTAGTAAGAGTTTTACGACACGTGTACCTCAATGTTATTAATCCAACGACAGAGGTACATATTCCCTCTGTATAGCAGTGGGTTTGAGTTTTATTATCCTCGCACCCGCTGATGGCTATATGTAGAAACCTGTTTGACTAGCCCAAACCACAAAAACCGCACACAAGCCGCCAGGAGATCTTATTAAATGACTCGTCATCTGGGTCAACCCCCACAGATATCACAGCCTCGACCACCAGCCGGTGTGGCATAGTTATGTTTGTTTTAGTAAGAGTTTTTACGACACTAACAATTAGGTCATATAAGTGCCAAAGATTAGAGTGTTAAAAGAATGTAACAACCACAAAAATAATAATGGTAGATATTTCACAGGAAAAAAAGGAGCAAACTAAACCAGAACATCCGAGAATCACCCAAGTGACATGGTTAGTTTGTCCGGCTCGGTTACCATACAAAAATTACAGTTTAAATGAGATCAGCGCAATATTGCTATCTATCATCCTTCCTAGAACATACTTCTCCAGTGCGCAGTGCCCCGATAGTTGACCAGGTTCTCTGCCTTCGAAAAGTAGAAGTCGCTTCAAAATAAGTTGTAGGTCCTCATCAATTGGCAAGAGCTTAATAAAATACGTGGTGCAATAAATAGACACAAGAACTAAAGACGATAACGGCAGCAAATAATGCACAAAAACGAACAAAGTTTGTAAACGGAAGCAGGTGTCCGCTGTATTGTTACCATTGACTTCAAGACCGCAGTTCTATTGTTTATATATGAATAAATAAAAGCACATTGACACCACAATGGTCATTAAAAGGTGGGGAAAAGTAAGACTGACAGACAGACAGCAACAACAAAGGGAAAGTAAAGAAATAGGACGTACTCATGGCACCCTCAAACCATCCACCAGTTCTCTTGTGCGTCGATTGGTAGCATTCATGATTTAGGAACATTTCTCCTATGGCGTTCCTTTAGAATTCATATATATAGAATTCAAGATTCTGCTAATTAATAAAGACATCTATGTATTTTCGACAGACGGCGCCACGTGGTCGGGTTTTGGGATCTTTTGTTGTCGCTAGACACCGGACCTTCAGTTGGCACAGTGGCACGACAGAGGATTAAAAATGATGATAGTAAGTAAATCTAGTCATTCGATGAAAAGATGCCATTCCTCTCCTGCGTAAAGGGATAGTGGAGTGCGAAAGAATGCCCATCCCAGAGATGGCCGTGGGGGGG